AGCGACCGTGGACCTCTTGCGAGGCACTGTTTGATTAATTGAGCGATAGTCCGCCCGTTTATTCGGATCCTTGATTCTTGAAGCATCGCGTTGGTTTAGAATGGTTTTTAAAGCTGTTCGTTAACAGGTTTCGTGATACCGAATGTTTTTCTACATTTTCCGAGACCTTCGCGCGATTGGAGTGTGTAACTGAATGCAGTTTATTAAATATTGTTAGTACAGTATTAAAGCTAACCTGAAGTATCTTCTATGATTTTTATAGATTTGTTAGATTAAATTATAAATCATATAAAATTCGATCGCGTTCGTTCCCAGCAGTCGGTTACTGCCGAATTATCCGGACCGCTGCGAATTACTCCAAAGTATAAACGCAGCCGAACTGCAGTGACGGCATAAATTATGAACGGAAAATCTCAAGATGTATTACGAACGATATCCCATTGGCCCGCCGCGGATAATCCCGCACCCTCGACATTTATTGCCCCTTGAAAGCCGGGCGCAGGTAATCTCCGCAGCTTCGACTGGCATGCGAGCCCACCGGCTCAAGCGCCCATAACCATTAACAAATCTTGTAGCCTAGCACGAAATAAAGTGCCCCCGTGAATCGGCCGTTTGATTCGAATAGCTACAGCGCTTTTATAGAGCAAAGGGGCAGGGAACAAGAGAATGGGAGCAAGAGAAGGGAGAAAGGGTAAGAAGGAGATAGAGAGGTAGACAGATAAAGAAGTAGGGAAATGGAGAGATGGAGAGACAGATAAAGAAGTAAAGAGACAGAAAATAGAAAAATAGAAAAATAGAGGGTAAAGAAATAAAAACGGTTCAAAAACAAAACAGAAAGCAGAGAAATAAAGAGGTAAATATAAAAATGTAAAAGTGGAAAAACGAAGAATTAAATATAGTTATACAGAGATAGGGAAATAAAGCGAGGCAGAGAAAAACACAGAGAGATAGACAGAGATAGAAAAATAAGAGAGAATGGTGAGGGGTCAGCGAATGAGATAAAAGATCCGTGGAAGAAAAGGGGGATGAACTCGTGGCGCGAGGCCATCGTTGGACTCCTTGCAACTCTCCGCGATATGCTCGAGTAACGCTCCCGGCTCACCCCGAAAGGGAAACTCTTCTGTGCCCCTCAGACTTTGTATTATAATCGACGGGCGGAACGTAATACGATCCGGCCAAACTTCGGATAAACATACACGCCCCTTCCGACCGACGATGCGTGCTGGTGGTGAAATCAATTTTAACGGACCGAAATTGTGCGGGATTATCAGATGGTGGCTTAGGTTTCGGGGCTTAGAGTAACGCAAACTGTAACTCTTATCCGAGATTCTGATCGGCTTACTAATTGAGCACCAATGGATTTCGTATCTTGCATTTGTTCCAAGTTCCCCAGTGTTCGCGCGGTATCGCGGTTTATCGAATGCAATATCGTGTCACACTCGCGACGGAAATTATAAACTGAATTTGAAATTAAGGTGTTATTTGTTTGGCTTAAGTATGAAGTAAAAATTATTTGTCTGTTATCAATCGTTAACTTTTGGAGCGATGGTTGACATAGAATAAGCATTAACATTGTTTTCTTTCCTAATCCAGTGTGAACAGTATAGTAGCTGTATCGATCATAGTTAAGAAATAAATCATAGGACAAACGGTTAATATACACATTTGTCGCTCAGAGTCCAATTAAGTGCAGAAAACAAAAATTGAGAAAATTTATCCTTTGGCTTCTGAAATTATTATACAGCATTTTCAGAAGCTATGAAAAGAATGGCTTTCGAACCTATGAAAAAGGAATAAACGAGTAAATCTTTTAATAACTACGAAGAATATTATTTCTTCCGTTAAAACTTACAAAAACTTGAAATAAAAAATGAATTTAACCGCATTGGCTTCTGCGACTCATAAGTCGCAGAACTGACGCATAAATAAGTCAAATGAGAATTCTGAACTGAGAATCGAAACTTCCGAGCACTTCAATAGCAAACTGAAACAAAAGATAGTTCACCACCTAATCTCAGAACGTCAGTGTTGCGGTACTAATAATTCACAGCCAATAAACACGACTTAACAAAAACACCGATGAGACGTCAAACATCAATCTTGCCCTTCGAAATACCCAAGCTGCTCCCCATAGGACGCGCGCCAGTGGAGAACCACTGATGTACGCGGATCACCAATAAAACAGCGCACAAAGGGAAGACAAATTGGCGGTATAGGTGGTCGCTTATTAAATCCAACGGCAGACCCAGGCTGACTCGTACGAATACACCGATTGTGTCGGGTGTCGTGGCCGGGGTTCGTGCGCGCTCCAGAATCGGCGGAGGGTTTTCCTGGCAGAAGGCGCCACCCTTCGGCGAGACTCCGGTGAAGAAGGGGCTGTTGGCCCGACAGAAGCCAAGCAAAGGCGTGTCGGGTTACCGGCTAACCCCGGGGGTAACCGCGAGTCCCACCTAAGCCCATAAGCGTACACGTATTTGCTTGACCCTCGTGCAGCTCGTCGCGAAGGTCACAAATTCAGCCGAAGGCTGCGAGGCTGGCCCCGACCACCTATGATCCTGGCGGGGCACGCTAACGCGCAAGTAACGAGATGTAAATTGAGACGCGTTTAGAAAGGCTGCACTTCCGTTTAAAAGATAACTGGGAACTTCCGTCACCGCGAGTCTCTAGCGTTTGATTATTCTATTATAAGGAGATTTCCGAAGGGTTTCTTTTAACCCTTGCGCAATAGATGTATGGTTGTAACGTTAGTATAGTTGGAATTCGTTTATTTGTTGGATTAGATGTGTAATGTATGTTAAGGTTGCATCAAAATGAGGCAGATTAATTTTGTGCAGCTTGTGTGAATGGAATTTTATTATGGATAGAAATGAGGGTTCTAAAAGTTTGGTTCAATGACATGGACATTGCAGCTTTGATAACGTGGAATATCAAGTCTGAGAATGTCAATTTTCTCGAAGGACTTGTCTAGTTGATTGCTGCAGTCCCGAATTTTGATAGTTGGATAACTAATATTGTTTAATTCCTAAGATTATTCCGTGAAAAACAATTTCTCGATTCAGTTGTTTCCTATTAGAAACTGTAGAAACCACGTTCAACGCGATATTCATATTTTCCAAGACGATCGAAAGGGAATTTTAACGGCGGAGCACGCAACGCTCCTGTCGGCGCTTTGTATCCAGTCAAGTTTTAGACGGATTCATGGAATCGGGCCCCGGAGCCAACCTTCGGACAACTCGAAATCCATCCCGAAGATTCGAGGCATAGTCTCGTCTGTATCGATAAAAAGAAGGATCCCGGTGTCTCGGGTTTCACGATACACGGTACGAAGTTGACGCTAACGAACGCTGACAATACGAAAGGCGACCGACGCTCGACCGCATTGTAACGGTCTTCTATTAGCGAAGTCGTCGGGACGCGAGGACCGGATCGTCCAGATAAAGTATCTGAATGACAGATAATCGGCCACCTATCAGTTTCACAAGCGTTCGCAATTCAAAATTCCTTTTTCTTCCACGGCGCCGGGGACGAGCGCCGCGGCAGCCGACAGTAATCTTTCGTTAAAATGGCCGATTGCGCGATTTGTTTGAAAATTTTCTCCTCTCTTTTTTTTATATTTATGGATATAGTGGAGACCGGATTAATTATAGATGCGTCTAAGATAGATTTTACGCGTGAAACTTGTTTACAGGGTGAAAAGCCTGAACGCGCAATATACACGCGATGTCCGCCGAGGAAAGCGATTTCAAGCGATCGCGTCGTGATGCTCGATAGAACAGCCATATTCCTTTGAAACCGCTCCGCGCGATAAGCGAACTATTAGATAGACTGATCTCTATTCCCGGCGACGAGGAGAATGCGGTCGATAGAACGAGCTCGCACGTAAATCTCGCACCAACAGGAGAAAACAACGCGACAAAAAACACGCTGCACGTAAGTAAATTCTTTTTCGCTCGTTTTTTTCAATAAAAATACCTAGTCCCGCGGTGCTGGACGAAATAAAAAGTGGAGATGCGTGGAAAGGCGGGTTACTAGATTTAATTACATTTAAAGTCAGAAGAATGATTAACTAATAGGCTGTCGTTATAAAGCATGACAGTACCGTTCCTATATAACAGTTCAGAATTGTGAGATAGTCGAAAAGAATATCTGATGTCATTATTTTTCGGATAAGAGTCCAGTGTATTATGCTTCGTTAAACGAAAGATTAACTGAGGATTAATTAAAACGTGACCGTACGTGTAACGTAGATTATCTCGATCAAACGTTAACCAAAACTGACATTCTCCTGCTACAATTTATGACATAATTATCCTACATTATCAACGCTAGATTTCCAGACATTTATTGTATCATTCCTAGAACAATATGAGTTCACCTTTGCACTCCAGTTGCGCCTCACAATCGCCAACCGATTTGACACAGGAAAATTGTAAAGTTTGATGTTTAATACTGAATTTTGCATAACGCATCAACGTGCGAAGTATTCAAAGAAAATAGTTTTCTTTCTCAACGTATTGCGATTTCTCGCTAAGTCAATTTCAGAAAGTATCTGCATCTGATTAGAAAATATTGAGTATTTCCAGTGCAAAACTAACTTAACAAAAGGGTTAACACCAGAACTACCACACTAATTAAGTCGAACTATTCCAGAATATACATATCGCGAGTATTTAAACTACGACGACGCTTTTGCGAGGAGGTATAAAATAAAATATGTTCGTACAGGTATATACAAGCCTAAGCCTCCTTTCAAATATCACGCAAAGTGTTGCTCCAATCAAAAGAAACGAGAAATAAGACACTCAAGTTACTCGGTTAGTTCCAGTGTCGAAGGAGCGTCCGATAATATCTAACATCAGCGTTTTCTAACATTTACTAATGCTTTTCGCGGCGAAGTTTCGAGGAACACGGGTGACGCGTTTCGAGAGTGCACGCGGAGGAAGAGGAACGGGTCCCGAATTCCGGCGGATACTGTAAACAAACAGGCTCGTTCGACCAACCTTTATGTGGCATCTTCCAGAAGGGCGGTTCGGGGGTGGGTGAGCAAGGGTTAGCCACCCCCGCGCCCAACAGCGTTCTTGCCGCGTGCAGCGCCGCCGCCGCCGCCTCCCGGCTCCGCGCTGCCGCAGCGCTTGGCGGGTAATCCGAAGCGCTGTCACTTCCGGCGATGCCGGCACCGCCACCGCTGCCTCCGCAAGAACGAAGGTGCAGGTTCAGCCGACTGCCGGCGACCGTGCCACCGCCGCCACCGCCACCTCCGCCGCCACCTCCGGCCACGCTAACACAATGCTGAAAACAAAACAAGGGATTCGCTTTTTATCTCTTCCACTAGAATCTTCTGATGGAGGACGACGTCCGTGGCAACGTTCAATTGTTA